TAGGGATAACAATATTCCCAGTTGCAATTAAAAATGGAATTGATCAAGATCGATCGTGATCGTACTAGCGTTAAAAATTAATTGAGTTGCAAATATCCACAAATTAATATCAGTCTAATGATTTATTTTATTGGAAATCATTGTCTAAGGAATACTATTAGGCATGCCAACCCATGCATATCTGTGAACAACCAGTCCTTGATCTCTCAGCACCCAAACGAGGGAAAAAAAACTGAGCTCGGAAACTTGTGGCATCTACGAGGGTTGATTACGAAAAGATACACAGTCCTTGAATCATCAAGCTGGTCGCCTTCTTTGAAGATAGACTGATTTTCCCCCTGTTCTGATCTTACCCAGCCATCACGTTAAAAATAAAGAATGAAACGTCATCGTAAGTGCCAAAATCCTTTGCGCGTGCCTTTATATTGACGAAGTTTAATGTTAGCGGTAGACTCTGATACTTGAAGATCATTATATATATTTAAATATTAATTATTTTCATTATATTTGTTAGAGTTAAAATAATATACCTTTAAGATATGATAAATTTTTATTAAAAAGTTTTGATAAATATAAATAAAAAGTTTAAAGAAAAAAATTAAGGAGAATATTTTTTATTTCTAATTAATTTCTATCCACATCAAACTGATATTTATAACTATAATAATATCCTTTAAGACTAATATATTTGTGTAGTTTAAAAAATAACTAGAAGATGTCATTTATAATTATTAGAATAATTAATTTTAATAATAAAAATAAAAATATTTTATGTTATTGTCAAGAGCCATTATCCAAATATATTGGTTTAATGTTCTTATAATAACATAAGGTAAAATAAAATATCTTATCTTTTAATATAGAATAAAACTTTTACCTGATATATAAGGTGTATTTTAACAGCTTGAAGGTGTTTTTTCAGGGACTTTAAAGCGATTGTCTTATGTTTATTTTGTCTATGTTTTCTAAATGCTCTGGATCACTTTGATTAGTAACATAATGTGATTGATTAGGTCATTTAATAATATATATATAAAACCCGATAAGGTCTGGTAGTATGATTAGTGCTCAAACCTATCAAGATAAAGGATTTTGAGGAGAGTATTATACCTGCTAACACCCTTATAATGCTTGCTTGCATTGCAGGCTCGAAAGTTGACTACTCTGCAAATCGAGAGCTCAGTAAATTTCTTTCTCCTCATTCTCTCTCGTTCCAAAAAAAGGGAGAATTTCTTGAAACTCTTGTGTTCTTTCCTCTCTTCCGAGCGTAATGCAGATCACTTTATAATTAGGTATTAATCTGAGTTTTTTTTTTTTGGGTGCTATTTAAGCCAGGTATTGTTGTATTATTCATGCTTTTGACTTTCTCCAATTTCTTTAGAAACTCGATAAGTAAACCCTTTGCAAAATACCGGGCCTGACAAGCCGTATATGGTTACCGGCCTTTAAAATAGTCCAATAAGCATTACAAGGTGTGCTTTCAGTTTCAAAAGGGCTCATTTGAACTCTTTTGTGTTCCCGTTTTATTACTACTTCTCGAATCCAGATTAATTAAATAAATAAAAACTAAAGTTATTATCATTTTTATTTTACACTGGTTAATATCCATTCAAATCGAACTCAATAACTTAGATTTGAATAATAAACAATTATGTTTTTAACAAAATATGTGAAAATCTTCAAAGGATTAAAAGTCTATCTAACATGATTTTTGAATTATAAATTTTCATAAATAATCTATTAAAAAACATTTTAAATTATAATCACGTTTAATAAAAATAAATTAAAATAATTGTTTTAAGAAATGAATGTGTTATAAATTATAATCCATGACTTAAAAGTTAACATTTTTAATTTTTTTTATTGCATTGAAATTTTCACTTGTTTTTATTCAAAATTTTTATTTAAATTAAATATTATTTCTAGCTAAATATACTTATAACTTTTTTAACATAAAAAATTATTATATTAGTTTATAAAAATTATACAAAACACATCTTAGCGACGGCTAGCTTTATTAACAAACAGAAAAGTAAGATAATGTTTTATATTATTTGGTGGTTGTTTTTTAAAACTTATTTTTAATATTAATATATTAAAATATAAAAAACATAAAAAATAAAAAAATTCTTAAAAATAAGTTGCAAACACAAAGCTACGTTTATTTGCAAAAAAAATAATTATTTTTGAAAAATAGTTTTCTTAATAAGTAAATTTTTAAAAAATAAATTATTTTTTGATATGTAACAATGTCATGAAAAACACTTTCTAACAATGCTATCATGTTATTGAAAATAATCTGAAAAATAAATATTTTTTTTAAATTTATTAAAATAATAAAAAATAATTCTTACAAATTAAAAAGTTGAACGACAATGAAATTAAAAATGAATTTAATTTTATAAATTATCTTAAATAAAATAAATAATAATAAAATCTAACAGTTAAAAAATTTAAAAGATAATGAAATTAAAATAATTATAATTATAATTTTGTAAATTATTTTAAATAAAATAAGTAACAAATAAAAAAATAAGGACTAAATTTGATAAATAAAAAAATTGAATTAAAAAAATAAATAATAATTATAAAAATAAAAACTAAAATTGATATAAAAATTAAATTCTAAAGGATGTATTTGAAAAAAATATATATAACAATAAAAAATTTAAGAAATAAATTTGATATAATCAACGAATAATATAATATTACTAAATTTTTTATAATTTTTTAAAAATATTTTAGCCTAAGATAAAATATTTTTTAAAAAATCAAGTTAATTTTTTTAACTAAAAAATATTTTTTATTAATTGACTTTTTTTACAATAAATAAATATAAAAACATTTTAAAAATAATTTTTAAAAACTACTCCTTAATAAACAAATAATCAAACATATCCCAGGGACACCGGTTAAGATAACAGGAAACCAGGCGTCCCGACAGGCCAGCCGCGTTCTAGCTGCTGAGCAGACACGTTAGTCAAGAAAGTCAGTAAGAGGTCCCACGCCCCTCCACAGATTCTTCCATGCTCTCTCACACCGAGATACCGGGATTACAATCAAAACCAGCAAATCCCTAAATTGCCCCATCATTAGTCGATCTCCATCTTCATTCCGTGCTCATGACAGCACCAGATCAGAATCTCCTTTAATGACAACCATACTTTACCCGCTAATTAAACTAAAAAAATACCGGCTCAAACCCAAAAGGCAGAGCATCCAGAGAAAGCACAGCAGCTCCCCTTTAAAGAGGAAAGTGGGAAAGAGAAATGCGAGAACTCAAGCTCGAAAAGACGACTGATATACTGCCATTAAAAGCAGAGAATAACTAACACAAAACAAAAAAAAAAAATGCCCTTAAAGATCCAATAATATTACACCGTTCTCCAACAGTTTAAAATTATCGAATATTACTCCTATAGCTTGCTAAAAGACTCTCAATCTTACCATCTACTATTTAAGTTGCTAATGTAAAGCGAGCTTTTTCCAAATTTCATTTCACCTCTCTCTCTCTCAAGTCCATATACATGCTATAGTATCTCAAAAGAGACTTCAAAAACTAAAAAAAGAAAAAAAAGAATAGGCTTTTTGTTGTTTAATGTTAACGTTGGAATTTTCCGCAAATTAAAAGGGTAAAATCAGGGATTCCAAACTATAGAAACAGAAGTGAAACATTGAGAAATGAATAGAAAGGGGCAAAAGGGGAATCTTATCATAGCAAGCAAAACACATATTGTTAGCATACATATACTGACACAGAGAGTAAGAGAGAAGCAGCAAAAGCGATAAAAAAAATGGCAGTCTCGGTTTCCATTTTAGCTGTCATCACTTCTCTTCACCTCATCGCCTTCGTCCTCGCCATCGGCGCTGAACGACGTCGCAGCACCGTAACTCTCTTTCTCTCTCTCCCTCCCTCTCTCGATTTTTGAGTCTTTATCCGTTCTATTAATTTTTTTGCTTTGTGTTGTGTGAGAAGGCTAAGGTGGTGCCTGACCAGTACGATGAGAGGACTTACTGTGTCTACGATACGGACGCGTCTACGGTTTACGGGCTAGCGGCGTTTGGGCTGATACTTATTAGCCAAATGATTTTAAACGGCGTTACCAGGTGTCTCTGCTTTGGTAAAGGCCTTGTTACTGGAAGCTGCTCCACTACTTGTGCCATCATCTTCTTCATCTTTTCCTGGTAAAAGAAAGTTTTCATTTTCTCCCTTCCCATCTCTTCAAATTCCCTCTCTATCATTATTTTTTTTCAATTATTTAGAATCATTAATTTTAACATTCTAGATCAGTCCTTTATTTACATATACTTAATTGATTAATTGAGTCCCATTTCAAAATTTACTCTTACACCGACAAATGAGTTAAAAGTTTCTCGAATATTTGCACTCTGTCGTTTGAACTAGTAGGTGGCGACATGTGAACTAAGCAACTAAATTAGGAAATATGTTAAATCTGAATAAAGAGTGTGTTGAATTACATTAGCACTTTGCAATTCATAATAATTGATGTGGTTATATTTGGTAGTGATCAATCTGCAGTTAATTAAATCCTTGGGCTATAGTACCTCCATCTTCAACTTTCGGCTTTCAGGTTTCAATCTAGGCACGGTAGGCTTTGGCATTTGTCCTTTCGGGAGTTGGTAACTGACCCACTGTCTTGACTTTGTGGCGACGATTTATTAGAAAGAAGCTTGAAGTAACACCTTTTTGTGACAACTCTATGAATAAGGGCTTCCCTTTGCCGTGATTATCAATCGAATAATACTATTTTTCGAAGAAAATCATGATTTTTTAAAATTAACATGCTTTTTTTAAAAGTTTTTTTTTTGACAAAATTTAAAAAATATTTGGCGATATGGCATAGTTTATACCTATTGGAACTGCAACATTCAAATTTGTTCGTTATTCAAAAACATAACATTTCAAAGAAATTGTGAAATGAGTTACATAAATTACGCCAAGGAGAGAGAAAATAAAAAAATAGATCTCAAAGACATACCTAAGTTTCGATTAGAAAACCACATGTACCATCGAGATGATATCGATGAGACGAATCTAACAACACTAAAGAATGTCACCAACAATTATTGAATTGTGCTACATTTGCCGCACATAGATGGCGGGTGGCTCATTTTCCTTTGATGAAAGTATAGTCTACTCCGGTCATTGTTGTGATCTTTTTGGTGTTGCTGGATTCGTCTTGTCGTGAATTTTATGATCCTACTAATGATATTATAATCTGAGCTTCAATACGTCTCCGGGGCCTCTTTTTTTCTTTTTTTCTCTCCTCGCTCATTGTAATTTTTAAAGAGAGAGGAGAGAGGGGAAAAAAGAAAAAGAAACAAATTTGAATGTTGCTTTTCTCGGTCCATATACAAAAAGTGTTATTTCACCTATTCTTTTTTAAACCATGTTATTTTGTTAATTTTCTTTAAAAACCATGCTAATAAGCAAAAATACCTGAAAATTATAAAGCAATAGATTGTTGGAACCCACTGATAATCTCCACATGGATCACGTGATTGGATGTCTATCAAATTTTCTTGTAGTCTATGCTTGTTACTTTTTCTTGTGAAATAGCATTACTCTTAATTTCTCTACCGGAATGCTAATGAGCTTGGTAGTTGGTAGGATATTTTGGATGTTTTAGGTTTTAGGATATTTTATGTATATGCCTGCTGTCCTCCAAAATGGCTTGCCTTATTCGGATTTATAATAGGTGAGAAATCTTAACTACTGAATCTTCAGGTTAAGCTTTTTAGGAGCTGAGGCATGCTTATTAGCTGGATCAGCAAGGAATGCATATCATACCAAGTACAGAGGATTGTTTCAACAGGGTGAATTATCTTGCGCCACCCTTCGCAAAGGTGTCTTTGCTGCTGGTGCAGCTCTTACATTGCTGTCATTGATAGGGTCAATCCTTTACTATTTTGCTCACTCGAGAGCTGATACTGGCGGATGGGAGAAACACCAGAATGTAGGTGTTGGGATGACCAGTGCAAGTTACCCACAGCAGCAACAAACAGGTGAATTTGAGAAGGTTTAACTATGATTTGATGAGGTCAATATCTACAGTTTTGGGGGCTTATCATTGGGGAAAGATTGATAGAGGAAAATGAAATGGTGTTAGAGATCTTCAAGCATGCATGCGTTAACTTATATCATGTCTGGTGTGAAATTCGTGTTTTTTCAATGTATATTTGGTGTGCGCTTCATGGCATTGCTTCCGTGTATTATGCTGGGTTGGTCTTCTTTGATCATGCTGCTAACACTGGTCACTTGTACGGATTGACATTATAGTTATACTATTAAGATCGTATCTGCCTGTGTCCCGCTATGCCCATTGAGTCCATCCACACTTAGCTGCACAATAGTCTTATGATTGTTGCTTTTGTAATAATTGGTAAACTTTGATTGTCAAGTCTTTAAGTGGCGTGGTTCCTTCTAGCTTGGTGAGATGTTGCAGAATGCTACTCCTTATTTTGCAGCTCTGATATACAATGGGCCCACAAATGAATCTGAGAAAGAATTGTGAATCTAAAAATCCAACTGGCTCTGAGGTTCCAGGTTAAAATTCTGGATGAGTGGTCTAATGGACTTGTTAGGAAACCGATCAGGTGGTTGAAATCTGACATTTCTTCCCCGCGAGGAAGCCAACAAAAAACTCATTAATTAAACATAATTACACAGGTCTCGCCTTGAATTTCAACTTGTTTTTTTGTTTTTTAATAAAATTTGAATTTTTTTGACATTTTCCCATAAAGTAATAGGCTAGGGATCCTACACTGCTTTTCATAGAATTCTATATTGCCTTCCCTTTTGACATTTTCCCCAGAATTTAATGTGTTTGGTGATAATTTTCTATAATTATGAGATTAATTAAAGTAGGATGTTATACAGTGGCCCCCTCCCATTATAGGCGTTAGGATTTTTATTGCAATTCGATCAAAGTTTCTTTATCATAAGGATATTCGCAGACTAATTTATCAAGATTTAAGATCTATAAATGACTTTAAAAACGCAATCTACATCTGCTATATTGAAAGAAATTTAATATATCTTTCTGAATATTAACTCCAATTTATATATAATTATGATTATACGTTTAAATTTAACCACCAACCTAAACTCTCGCAGTTGCCATCAATCAAGGTGGATCTGTTTTTCTTTTCTTAATTACCCCACTTTATTCTCTTAATTAGTGGGGCAGAGCTTGAGCAGATTTTAAGGAGGCGGCAAAACAAAAAATTGAGATGAAATTGAAGGAAAGTGCCAAACAACTTTGTTTCGAAAAGATGCGGTTTCAGTGTTTTTTTTTTTCGGGTTTAAAGCAAAGCTATTTTGGATAAATGTTTTTTGGGTTTAAAGCAAAGCTATTTTGGATAAAAAAATCATTAATCCAAATCAACCCACTAACCTATGGATTGATCTACTCAACTGTAACCCGAATCTTTACCGTGTTTTTTTGGCTTAAGTTAAGCAATTAAGCTAGCACCGCTCCTTGTCTTGTAACCCCTGAGGATTTTGCTGTAAGAATAATGTGCTGCCCTCTCCTTGCGCTTGAGATTGTACAATAATGTATTTATTCTTCAACTAGTAATGAATAATTAAATTGTTTAAACATCTTATGATCTCACTGTTAAGAAACATAACGAAAGTTGCTAAAGCCTAGAGCGTAGGATTTTCTTGAGAAATGATATTTGATTTCACGACATAACAGGTAATTAGCTAATCATGGATACAATGATATATAAGTGGAAGAAATTGATGCTAGGTCAACATTTCTGTCCAAGGAAACTGTCTGATACAAGCCTTCAGTTATCCTACTGCAATAATCAAATGAAGTCAACCAGCACTTCAAAAATTCAATTAAGAAACATTTTTCTCTCTGTCAGTGACTAAACTGTAGCCGCCAGCCAGCTTCCTCGAAGAAAGTAGACTGGAACCACATTCTGTGTGAACGAAGGCGTTATAATATGACATGCAGTTATTGAAGAGTATGGCTAGCATTTCTACAACTCTGTCATGATTCTGAGAACTGATAATTAATATGGCAAAGAGTTTTATAGCAATCAACTTCGGCAAAAGATAATTGGAGAAAATAATTGGTCATGGAACAAAAGGTATGATCATAGTGGATTCCAAAAGCAGTAAGAAAAAGGAGTACAGGTTGGAATTAACCTGACATGTTTACTGGTAGATGATAATCAGATGGTGTTCCTTCGGTGCATTCGAGGACTAGACTCTCCTTTGTCAGGACTATCGTATGTGGCAGAGAACCCAGTTGCAAATGTTGGCAGTGTACTTGATGTGGCTGCATCTGCAGGTAATGGTTGTGAGGAAATGAATGGCATTTGCAACTTGAGGGGTGGGGAGATTTTCATGTGAAGTCATTAGATTCAATCCAGCTGCTGCTGCTGATAGCGAAGAATGGAGATGCACAGCTGAAGGAAGTGATATCATTGGAAGACCCAACGAATGAGACATGCTTAAGCATTCCCATTCCGGGACTTGGCCTCATGGGTGCCTATATATGGAAAATTGGGGGATTGGAACACTTGGAATTTCAGCCTGTGGCGTATATGAGGCCTGGCACGTTGCTCCACCACTCATGGACAGCATCTGATGGACAGAAAAAGAAACAAGTTAATAGCAGGCAAGGCTTGAAGAACTGCAATTAACAAGTTAACAGCAGGCAAGGCTTGAAGAACTGCAATTACAGATAAAGTGATCACTTCAACTTGAAGCTTCAAGGCTTTAAGATATTCAACAGCATCTTCTAGCATTGACGATCGGTCCTGCTGAAATACAGTTGGGAAATTTTGAATGATTGGATGTAATTAGACGGTATTGCCAAGCAACAGAAACAAAAAATCTGGAGAGAAGCATCAAAACAGTCAGAAATCCTCACAGAGACCAGCAATAACTAAAAATTAAATAAATTGCTTTAGCAAAAAGAAACATAATACCATGTCATCCAGCACTAAAGCTACGACCATTTAAAGATGAATTAGTGGCATCCACTCAAATGAAAAAAAAACTCTAATATGTTTTTCAGAACAACCCATTTATAACAGCTACCAGCTCAAACATGTAAGCTCTTGCTTCAGCAGCTTCTGAGTAGCCACATGAATGGTGGACTAGCCATAAAGCAAACAAACAGATAGCTCCATGTCAAAATCAGAGCTCAGTTTGTGACAGATTTTAAGCTTCAAATATCTGGACTCACAAAGTTCCCTTAACCATCGCATTAGAATTCGAGAAATTCGGTGGCTGGGACAGAGAATTTGGCTCAGTGACACCAACATCAGCAACCATAGAAACACTATCTCCCTCAACCTTCAAGACGGCTTGGTATCATCATTACTAGAACCCTCTATGAACTCCCAAAACTGCATTTGTCATAACCCCAAAATGCCTATTTTTGTAAGATTCAAGATATCATGATCAATAAAGAGAGGGAGGAGTTATATTGAAATTGCATTATTCATATTTTTTTTAACCTGAATTATTTTTTCAAAATTTTTAACAAATTATGTTAGAATCATGACAATTTTGGCAACGTGATATGCCTACCATATATGGGGAAATGTTGCTGCATTCTCTCGCCCCATTTTGTGGATTTCTTGGTTATTTGCGTTGGGGTCACAGAGAGTCGGAAAACATTCTTTAGTAGCCGTCATCACGTCACACATAAAAGAGCGCAAGTACACGCCGATTTGAATGATCGTGCATTTGTGTTATTATTTTGGTTTATTACTGTTCTCTGCTATATTTTATTGCTTTTATATGTTTATGGGATCAAGCTAACTATAACTGATGGTTAATTTAAGATAATGTGATGTGGTTAAAAAATGTTTTTATACACTAAACAGACATAGTAAACCAAAATAATAGTGTAAGAATATAATAACTCAAATTGATATATATTACATTTACAATTTGAGGTTTTAACTCCCCAAAATCTCTGGAATGGAAGCCTGTCAAGATACTCAGGCAAATAGCTCAACTAAATATTTGAAGCCCAGCTCAAGGAATTTTGTGTTTGGGCCACTGGGTATATGCATAAAAGGAAACAATAAATTACGCCTAGTTTTCTAGGAATTTTTTTAATATATGTTTAGTTTTTTATAGCAAAACTTAAAAGAAAGCATGGCTTGGCTTAGTTTGATTAGAATTACAGAAGAACTCGTCTGTTTGGTTCTTTTCAGGCGACATGCTTAGTGCTTTTAAAAGACGATATACATGAAATCATTAGTCATACATCGTAGATTGCATAAAAATATTTTTAGTTGAATAAAAAAAATTATTATGAAAGGCTCCTTGAGAAAACTAAATGAAAGAAAAAATAAAAATAAAAATAAAAACTTAAAAATAATACTTTTTAAAATATATAAAAGGATAACGGTCGGACAACTAAATAGAAACTCCCTTTTTTTCTTAGAATTAAATTATAATTGAATTTATTGATATTACAATATTATCATAAAATTTATTGATGATTTATTTTTTGCAAGATTAAACTTATACGTGCATTTCTCTCCTTTTTTCTTTTTTTTTTGTCTTCTCGAACATTAATGGAAAAAAAAAAGAAAGAACCTAAAGCCTGAGAACAAAATATCTCGGAGAGAGCCTGTTTCCTTTTGCAACTTTGCTGAAAGCATAAAATTAAATTTTGGAACCATAGAATTATGTGCTGGAATCCTAAAAGACCGCTCAATGTCGAACTCCAAAACTATAGTTTTTAACTCCATCCCTATTCAAAGTCTAAGTTTCACGTAATGATCGGATTATACGGGTCAAATTTTTAATTAAAATAATATTATTTTAGTAAAAAAATAAAAACAATAATTAATATATTATAATTAGATTTTTAGACCTATATTAACCTGTTAAGTTATTCTAAATTTTTTATTTTATTTTTTAAAATCCAATTTAATTCTAATCCTGAATTACTTGAATTTCATACTGAATTTTAAAACCATGTCCAAAACCGTTTATGTTAATACTGGGAACGCATAAAGTAAGAAGTCAGAGAGACACACTGACCTCAATGGTGATAGAGTTCGTTGGTGGCATGAACGCAGCTATAGAATACTGTTTTAGCTGATTTAAAACACGAAGATATTGACTTTCTATCAATAGAATATTTAACAATATAATAATAATGAAGAAAACTGGGACCCCCCCCCACGTTATACACATTTTACCTTAGTTTTTGGGATTTCTGACACCGAAAACTCTACCCGCATGATTTCCTCATTTTTCACTCTGTTTACCGACCTGCTCTGGATATTTCTAGTAGATGAATATTGAATATGTTGACAAAGTCAGAGGTTAAAATATTCATGCGTTTATTTAAATTATATATTAAGTTTTTAAGAAAAAAAAGAAGAAGAAAAACACGCATTTTGCAGACAAATAATTTTATGCATGTACTCCTGGCGGAAGATAAATGAACTGGGAGAGTAGAGTTTTCTCATCTTTTGCTATCTTGTTAGATGGAAGATTTGTTTACGTTGTAATTATTTTTTAAAATTATTTTTAAAATTAATGATTTAAAATGATTTAAAATATAAAAAAATTAATTATTAATAAAATCTAAAAAATATTTAAAATTTTTAAAGATATGAATAAAACCGCGTTTGCCAAATACTCTTAAAATTTCATAATTACTGGCCTCGAGTCAATGGCTATAATTAATACCAAAAATTATGGGAAGAGGCCTTTCCTTCTTCTACCTTTACTTTCTTTATTCGGCGCTTTATGTCCTCAAAACTGACTTTGAATTTGATAAGATTTGGACTAGTCCTCTCTTTCCGACACTTGGTTTTCATGTGTCTTGTCCATGGTTTTCAATTGCCCTCTACTGAAAATTAAGGTCACTTATTCTTTGGGAAACCTCATAGGCTTTTCTTGTCATGACATGGCATTATGTAATTGGTCGTTAAATTTGATATATACTTGTGACCCTGCGTCAAGTCAATGCAAAAAAAAAAAAAATTATTATTGATGAAATGATACCATATATATGATTTTGCTAACTAAAGGAGGACTTTAACCTTTCAGATCAGTGTCCCTAGCCATCACGAGCCAAGAAGAGAGGGGGAGAGAGAGAAAGAGAGAGAGAGAGAGAGAGAGAGAGAGAGAGATGGTGAGAGCTTGGAAAGAGACGATAAGAGGAGATGGAAAAATCTATGGTGAAGACTTGAGCAGTGCAGCTTTACTCTTCTGGGCTGCAATTGTCGCTCTTTCTATAATTGCATCTGTCATTTTATCTTGTGCCGGTGGTGCGTCGAAAGACAAAGCCTCTACTACTGATACGTATGGTTCAACATGTGCTGGGTGCGGTGCGGCCTGTGGTGGATAAGCTCGAGTTCGCTGCTGTCTCCATGTCTTGTTGGCACAGCATAAGAGGCACAAGAACAAATTCACTTCTGCAATTATCAACGGTGCAGTATACCTACCATTTACCAAGTTCTGTTTCTAACAACTTTCAATCAAAATTTGCATTTTAGTTAAGAAGATAAGGTAGTTATGCAACAATGGCAGATTTTCGTTTTTTTTTTTTTATGAGTTGTCTTCATTTTTATTTATATTATAAGCACCTTAGATCATGGCCGATTCATGATTAAAAAAAAAAACAAAGATATGTAATTGCATTAGCCATTATCATGAAGAAATGAATAATAGCCAGAGATTTCTTATCCAATTTCAGATTACATTTTTCGTTTCAAAACTCAAGGCATTCCAATTTCTTCTAATTTGGTCAAAGCGCATCACCTCCCTCCATTTAGCAATATCCACTGGATTATACTTAAAAAAAAAAAAAAAAAAGGCCGAAGCTATAATGAAGGCTAACATGGTGGCGGCGTGGACCTTCCTCTCCCGCCGTCCAGGATACCACTAGTTCAAATTCTATTTCCATATGAGGTTCATACAATGGCTTCCTCTTTCCCCGTCCAGGTAGGATACCACTAGTTTTAGGTTCATACAATGCCAAATATCTTCTGTGATATCAGCTGCTTTTCAGAATTTCATATACACTCTCGAGGACAAACAGTAATGATTTAGAAGTATTTCTGGAAACTGAACTGGAATGCAGTAAAAGGCTAGCAGGGGAAATTTAGGAGATATAACACCCAAAACGTGAAAATTTCGTATCATACTTCAAACTGTATCCTATCAAAAGATAGCTCATGGCTCGCTGCTTTGAGAGTCTCTTAGCCTCAAGCATATCCGTTCAATCTTGGAAATGAAAAGTGAAAACACCCAGAAAAGAAGCAAAACAGGTAAGAGCCTGAAAGTTGACAATAGCTAGATCTTTCACCTAATCCTACTTTAAAGATGCCAAACCATAGTGTTTCAATGATTCTACACCAACGGCACTGCTGCAAGATCAATTAATAAAGGAAAGATCAATAATGTTTCAATGATTCACTTAAAAATTTCACGGGTACCGCAGATTCAAATGCAAGTGTAAAACATGCAGTGAAGATAAAATGATAGCAGCATTTGGTACCCGTATTGACTTTTATTTGCATTTCTTTAACAATTTTCTTTTATTTCAACTCTAGTAATCAGTAGATGCATGAATAATAGGAAAGTACTTTCTATAGGCATAGCGCAAAATTATCATACAAAGGATGTCATCAGTAGATGTTGCTGCCTATGAGATCACAATCCACTACTTTCTTATTTCGGTGGAGGAAATATCCATGCGAAACCTATCAGCTGGTATTGAGACAAACATATCTTTCAATGTCTCTGGAATGTCGAAGTCTTCGAGAACCTGCAGAAAGACCACGCAAACAACATTGACAGAATTTCCACGAGAAGAAATAGAGATGAAAAAGGATACTTTTATGGGCTTATGGTATGTGGAAACACCTTAAAGACACCATCCACTTTACGGCCACCTACAAGGAAGGTGCACCCAATTCTTTTGCATCCATCAAGTATCTCTAGCATCTTCCCATGGTCTCCATCATAATACTTAGGCTGGAAAGCAGTAAAATAATAATAAATGAATATAAATGGACAGGGAAAGAAAAACTTGTCCATTCTAACACAAATATTTTTCCTAGCAAAGGGAGACGAAATGTAAAAGTTCAGATCAGATCATTGTTTCCATAGTAACATCAATTTACGTTGCAAGTCATGTCATATTTCCCTGTCCTCATTGTAGTTTTGAAGGCATTCCTGCTATGAGTAGAGTAGGGAGCGGAGCCCAATAAAACAAAGATACCAGTCTCTTGCATTATTAAGGCCTTCTCTGTCGCTATCTACAGGCATAATAATTCCAACCCCCAGGCACACACTGAAATACAAAGTTCAATTCACATAGGCAAAGAAAATTAAGGGGGAAAATAGGTGCACTAGTCAACATATCCTAGAACGTCAGAGCTACATGGGTATGTTGGCAAGCAAAGTTAATCCACGCATAGATCAATTTGAATGCATTAGTAAAGGGCCACATTAGGAACTCAGAAAAGTGTTACAGCATGTTCGTTTCCTTCCATACCACTAACTCCCATAAATGAGCATGAATGCATGGCTTCTGCAGAAAGGGCTTAAGAAATGGGATTTGAAGATGTGCTTCTTGAATAAATTCCAAGAAAATTGCAAGGATTAGAAATTACATTCAGTGGTCAAAGCATGAGATTTTTTCTTGGAAAACCAAGTTTTCTAGTTTTCATTTTTAGATTTCAAGATTTTGAGCATAGTTTAAGAACCTGTACTTATCCCGTATTTCACTATTTAAATACATTTTCTAGTTTTTCAAATTGAGAAAAGTTCCTAGTTTTAGGCTAGCAATGCCTCTTATTTTGGTTATATGAAATACATTCCAACAGAAATGAGAAAGTAGAAATGCAAAACTCTTGTCTCTAGATAGCCTTCTCTTTATTGTTTGTTAAAAACACTTTGCATCAAGTCCATAAGAAACTGAGATCTGTAAACTGTACAGTTTAATCAGTAATCCATGCCCTTAATAACTTTGATTTGTGAATATGTACAATATGACAATATGGCAGCAAAAAAAAATGCATTTACACAGTAGAATCTTGCCAGAAAAATAGAGATTTTTTCCAAAGAAGATCTTACAGACAAAATCTATGTTCATTAGAGGTGCAATGAATGCTATCTAGAGATAAGGCACCTTGACATTTGCATCGAAAGGAGAAAGCAGCATAAAATAAGCAGCATGCACCATTAAAATGCACCAGAATCATAAATTGAGGTCATAATATAACTTGAGCAAATTCAACTAAAGAAATGTCAAGATCCATACATTAATAAGCCTTCCCACCGTGTCTGCGCCAATCACAAAAGCACTGCCTGGAAAAAGCTCAGCCTTCTTATAGAAATAAGGTTGATTGGAAATAATTACTGTCTTTCCTGCCATTCTAAAAATGAACTTGTTAATAGGTCATACATACAAGTAGGTGGTGACATATTCCATACACAATTTAGCTAGATATGAGCCATATTTCTGTTGTTAAGTGAGTTTCAACATTCAAGCGGAGGGAAGAAGAAATAAAAACTACCACAAACTAAATAAGGTATTGAGGGAAACTTAGCATAATGTTAAAAAACAAGGAACCCCACAGAACTAACACGGAAATAAATTCCATTCCATTAACCATGCTGTTTTCACAGGGGCAGAGTCCATTAAGAGCTTTATGGCAGAGATAAACAATCATTTGGAATGCCTTTAATGCTAGTTAAAGTAATACTCTACATCAAAGAGAAAGAAGGCTATTCCCCAACAAAAACAGCATAGTGCCACTCATATGATAATCCTGATATGCTTAAAGTAACATTCCATTACCTTTAGCTCAGAAGTGACCTATGTCTACACCAGTTACCCCAAAATTCTAACCTCCCCTAAAAAATCCATCCATTTATAGCCACATCATCACAAAAATATGACCCTTCCACAAACACACATAATACATGATGTCCAGGTGTGAAAAAAATCAAACAATGAGCCTCACCAGCCTTTTCAAATTGCTTGATGCGGTCCTTAATTTGTGATACTGATAGTGGAGGTTTGTCAGCATTGACTGCTGATATTTCAAAACAGGGATATCCATTGCCACAAAAGCTACATAAAAAAAGAAAACAATGAGGAGAATTGTGTTTTTATCCGCATTTACACAAATGACAGAAAAGCTAAAATAAATGTCTACAGCATGAGTGGCATGGAAATTGAATTAAAGTGACTCAAGCATGCCTTAAATTTACATTTACAACTACAGATTCATGTACCTAGTAGCAACTTCCAAAAGCTTGACGTGACCGTCATGTAATGGATTAAACGAACCAGAAAGTATTATCTTTCTCTCAGCAGTAGATGTATAAGTCTCTGCAAACAGGTGGTAGAAACTGAATGAGCGACAAAATTTACTGCGATTTGAATTTATTCAATCCAAGGAACTAATCATACCACTTGAAAATGGATAAACCTTAAAGCATATTTTCCCATCTATAAGTTGTTCCAATTCTTGATCTTCGCTGAAGTGTGTTTCATGTTCATCAGACATGTCAGATTCAGTCAAATGAGAAACAGATGCTGCCTGGACTTTGCATGCATTTGCAATAGCCTGTAACAAGAAGTAGGGGGAAAACACTAGCAAAAATTAACCAAGAAATGTGTAAAATCGGAGCCATCACAAGCATATCACAGTTGGCAGAGTAAAAGGATTGCCCATTGCATCGGTACTCTTTTTATCTTACTGATTTCAGGATCTTGAAAGTTAATGCAACCTTTCACAAAACAATACACACGAAGGGATATAAAAGATTTCATGATTTTCAGTGGCAACGTCGTTTCTTATTTCTTTTCTTTTAACTGACTGGAAACATATAATTGAACAAAGCAAACTTAGTGTCTATCACAAACCTTGAGTAAGAGATGACTTGAAACTGTATCTTCTTGCTCCCGGGTTCTCAAACCCTGGATTATCAGCAACAAGAGTACTTACAAAAGCACAACACTAAATATTTAATTCAAAAAAGAAATTAAACTTTCATGACTACCTTAGACAATGTAACAGTAGATATTGAGAGTCGATCGGATGTTCTTGTTGACAAGTAAAACCTATAGGCAAGAAAAACAAGAAGTTAAGCAGGAACCCAAAATACTGCGAATCCAGAGAATGTCTTGTAGACAGAAAACCTGTGATCCCCAAATTTCGGACGTGAGCTGGCTAAAGAACCAGTAAAACCCACACCAACAACAGGGTAACCTGATTTAACAGACGAAAAGAAGCCAATTTAATTATTAAATTCAGATAAATTTAAGCAGCAAATACTACCAAATGCTAATTAGCGACCTGGGCTGGAAAGCTTGAGAGCACGGTTGTAAGCTAATAGAGCCATTTCCTCTGCAGTTTGTTGACTACAATGTTGACTGGGAATCTGAAAAACTAAAAATAAAAATCATATGCTTACAAAAAAAATTCTTAAAAGGATAAAAAGGAGTTTGATTACCTTCCCAAGTAATTGAATAAAGGACATTCTAGAGTAAGGAACAACAGCTTCAAGCACTGTATTTGAAGCTCCAGGTACTGACATCAACCATCCTAGCGCCTATAATTATCACGCACAAATTTTCTTGGCTTTTCTTAATTATGAAGTGTTGATGTGATAAGGAGCATAGACAGGGAACAGGACAGACCTGAGAGGCACCACCGGCGAGATAAAGCACAGCCTGATTAGGGGCAGAATGTATGGCTTCCACTATACCTCGAATCCACGCGTCCGGCATGGTCGTCTTCTCCACGCTCATCGATCCTTCTCTCTTTCTCTAGAAAAATGACGACCCTTATTTTATTAATCGTGCTCAGCCCAGTCCTTGGGCCCAATACTCTGCGTTAAATAAACGTGAACGAATGACGTTTATTCCAGGTGAAATATTTTTTATCAACATAAAAATATTATTATTATAATCAATTTATAAACTTGAGTTTATTTAGTTATTAATTTATATATATGTGTGTGTATAAATCATGAAAAATAATAAAATATTTTAAAAATTATAATAGCATGTTACTTTTACAATCTCCCCCGTTTTTTTTTTTTTTTTTCATTATCATCATCATTGTTTTTCCAACTATCCACCTAATTATTGTTATCGTCGTATTTTCTCCATCGTTAATTATTAAATATTGTAAATTTTATTTTATTATACACACACACACACTTCTCATTTTTAAGAGCAAGTGTCAGTTTTAAAGACAAATAAAAAGCTCTTTTTTTCCTTTTTTTTTTATCAAAATATTATACTATATTCTTGTAAAAAACTCTGCAAACCACAATTGTCGACACCATTATAACCCCTGTCACAATGGTTTTTACTCGCCATAAAAAAAATGACTTATAATAATAACAATAAGATCTTACCACTACCACTCAGGAGCCATAGCACCTTCAAAGTTTGAAAAACAAAATATCTACGTTGGTATCCAAAAAAATAATTGCTATTCTATAGCCATCACCAGTTCATGTTATTTTTTAAATGTATTCTGATGACTTTAGTTAGTGGAAGCCATTTCTAGAACCCTAATTCCACTGTGTAGGTGTGCTGAAGCTGAAAACATGGAAAACAAGAAAGAATTGAATTTAACAAATTGGATTTCACAGAGAAGGGACGTGTGAAAATGTCAAACCCATCCCACCGCATTTGCAGTTTGGAAGCAAAATCACATTCTCACAAGATAACTTTTCCAGATCTCGTTATCCCCCTGGCAAAAAAGAAAATCTTGTTGGTCCTAAAATACTTGTTCATGGACAGGGCTCAATGACGGAAAACAAAGAATACCAAGGAATGGCAACCTGGCAACAATCTTGTGAAAAAACAGAGAGAGAGAAAAAAAGATGTTCCGCATGATGTCTGTCTGTGCCCCCAACATACACTGCCTAGTACTTCGTAGACTACTTGTCGCTACATCAGTGTCTTCTGATCAGTTCTAACATGCATATGGCGACACAAATTGCGTGGTAACTGGAGTATTAGGGCATTGTTACTGCTACATAAAAAATAAAAAAAAGATCACTCCTTTCAACTGTAAATTACAAGGGACTCACAACTCTGCTTTTCCCCCCTCGGAGAAAAGAACGTCCAGTGCAGGGCACGTGGAGGATATGGTTTTTCTAATGCGTCCTTATGGCATGAGTAAGTTGATATAAATCTAAAAAAATAATTTTTATACTCATCAGTATTAAATTAGAGGGTAACGTTTCAGGTAATTGTGAAAATAATTCAATTAATCACATAAGCGAAACTTTTCAATTGTCTTGATTAATTTATGACCTTGATACACATGTTAGAATGACACATGTACAGATATGATATACCTTTATATTTATATTTTTTAATTAATATGAATATTCTGATTAGCTTGTATATATTTTAACTAAATTTACAAGTTTTAAAATTAATAATTATAAAAAAAATTAATAATTTTAAAATTTATAAAACCCGAATAAGTAATTTAAAAAAAAAATTAAAATCAATTGACTCATCAGTTCCTATATTTACATTTTATGCGTATTGGTAGTTTCCAGAAGGATGGAATTGGAATTACTAGGGGCACGCTTGACTGTTCTGGCTTGAACAGGCACTTCTTGTCCTCATATATATATATATATATCACAATAACTTAACTTGATCAGTATCACGTTTAACAAGCTTGAAACAACGGGTGAGTGACGCTACCATAATAACATGGCATCGATCTCTCGTCCCAGAAAAAGGGATGCGTGGAATCTTAAACTTAAATGTCATCAAATTTTGTGTTAAGCGATGCATAAGCAAGAAAGTACATGCATGATCAAAGGAGACGAGTTGGATTCCCTTCTCCTGTTCAGATCCCTGGTCGAAGGGAGAAAGGCAATATGGTATTCAACAGCAATTTTTTTCTTATAATAAGTAACGACAACGTTTCATCTATACTCAGAAGAAAAAAGAAAAAAGAAAAAAAAACCTTGGGGGTATCACTGTACTGCAATGGCCCTGGGCACGGTAAAAACCAGGTTTACTGTTCATCCATGGGATCCAAGGAGGCCATGGAGCATCCAGGCTGGAATAACGGTACTCTTGATTTTTTTATGTTTTTTTCTCAGCCTCGACCCTCAACTCCTCCAGTTTTATTCTAAAAAATCTCCCCACGTGGTCATTTTGTCCATTTTTCATTTTCTTTTTTTTTTTTTTGAAAAAAGGACATTTTGTCCATTTTTCGTTCAGTTCATCATTTTTTTTTTGAAAAAAGGATATTTTGTCCATTTTTCGTTCAGTTCATCATTAGTTCTTGACAGCTTACCAAAAAAGGCGTGCACGTGTTTATCATGTGTCAGAAATTCACTGTAAATTAGATGGAAATTCGAAGAAAAAACCATGTTATAAAAAAAATGAATGGAAAGACTGAGGTTCCAAAAAGAAAAAGAGTAGCCGTATTGAGAAAAAATGGAAGATCAAATTCCCATCAAAGCTTGCAATTCAAATTCCTAAAAATGGAGGGGAAATCACAAGTACCTCACATTTGCCCTTTAACTGCACCTGTTAAGAGTTCTCATTCTACTATATTACATCACATCACATTATAATTGCAATTAAATAGCTGTTCTTGTGCTATGTTGCTGATCAATTCAATTTTTTATTAAATGTAAAAAAAATATTCAAGTATTATTAACATGTTTTTTTAAAAAAAATTGTGCATATGTTAATTCGACATGACTTAGTCAATTTTGCATATCCGAATAAAACTCAATTAGCTAATAAAAATATAATTTAATTAAAATAAATTAGTTCTTGACAGCTTACCAAAAAAGGCGTGCACGTGTTTATCATGTGTCAGAAATTCACTGTAAATTAGATGGAAATTCGAAGAAAAAACCATGTTATAAAAAAAATGAATGGAAAGACTGAGGTTCCAAAAAGAAAACGAGTAGCCGTATTGAGAAAAAATGGAAGATCAAATTCCCATCAAAGCTTGCAATTCAAATTCCTAAAAATGGAGGGGAAATCACAAGTACCTCACATTTGCCCTTTAACTGCACCTGTTAAGAGTTCTCATTCTACTATATTACATCACATCATATTATAATTGCAATTAAATAGTTGTTCTTATGCTATGTTGCTGATCAATTTAATTTTTTATTAAATGTAAAAAAAATATTCAAGTATTATTAACATATTTTTTTTTAAAAAATTATACATATGTTAATTCGACATGACTTAGTCAGTTTTGCATATCCGAATAAAACTCAATCAACTAATAAAAATATAATTTAATTAAAATAATTAAAATAATTTATTTTTTAGAATATTAAAACAAAAATATATTGAATTTATTTGGATTTATTCGGATAAACTTGAATTTACTTGAATTAATCTAAATTAACTTGTTAAATCTCCAATCTAGGTTTTGAGACCTTGGTAACCTTATAAAGACAAGTAAAAAAAACACTAAGCTTAAATTCTAATAAATTTAATATTGAATGATAAAATAAAAAATAAATTTTAATTAAAAAAATGAGTTGAAGACATGAAAAAAAACACTGACTAAACTCATGACCTGATTCATAATACTAGAATAACTTTATAAAAAACAAACTATAATAAATTATGAAGTCTGGTAATAGATGAAAAAATTAAAAATAAATGATTAAAAAAACTTTAAGGCAACTGAGCTAGCCCATGACTATGATCATGAGAACGTGACAAATCTATACAAAAAAAAAAAATCATGAAGTATAATTTTTAATTAACTTAATATTAAAAGATAAAATTAAAAAATTAATAAAAAATAAATATAAATAAATTCGAGTTAATTTACCAAACTCAAATAATAAAATTAAAATAACTCTATAAAATTTAAATTAAATTAAATTATAAAATTCAATTATCAGTAAACTTACTAACCAAATTGTTAAAAAAACTAAATTATAAAAGTTAAAACATTTTACTGTTCATTCTGCGTTTAAATGCCAGTAGCAATTGGCATGAACTAATTACAGTTAAAATTACTTGACATGCTTAAAACATTCAGGAAAAAGAATGATGTGTTCTGCACTATTCCTCCTGGCCTGACCTAAAAAAGTATGCACGAAAAAACTTATAGTATACACTATTCATGCGTGAACAAGAAAACTGTATATATTCTTTTTATTTCAATCATCAGATTTTTTTTTTACTTGCAATTTCAGGTCTCAAGTTACATTAACAATGTCTTGTATGTCGAGATTCCCTTTATTTACAATCCCTCGCGTGTACAAAGTATTGATGAATATTTTGATGATGAATTAAAGATTAATCTTTGTGAGATAAAACTTTGTTTGCAGTTTAAAAATAAAAATTAAAAGAAGAAGGGCCATTTTTTAAAAAAAAAATGAAACATGCACCATTTGGATACTGCAAGAAAAAAAATCATTTTGCTCCTTGAATTTTTAGTTCGTCTATAGTTCGATCCTTGTTGTTTTATCATTTCTCATTTTGATCCTATAATTTATTAATTGCATTTTAATCCTTAAATGTCGAGGGAATAAGAGAAAAGGTTATTAAAAAAAGAGAAAGTGTTTAGATGGCAACATTATTGTTATCGAAAAAGTTGATTTGTGGGTAATGAGTTTATATCTCATAGGAGAGTTGAGTAGAGGTGGCTTTGTCATCTACCCATGCTGAGAAAAGTAATTAGAAAACATCTTGAATTCTTGACTATTTATACAATTATTATTAAGATTTATATAGTTATTAATTTTAAAATTTATAAAATTAATTATAATACACAAACTAATCTGGATACATTAATCTAAGAAAACAAATTAAAAATCTTAGTT